TTTTTTTTTGGACACAGATGCTTGAATTCACTGTGTAGCCCAGGTTGGCTTCAAACTTGGGAAGATCTTCCTGCCTCAGTCTCCCGAGTGCTGAGATTACAGGCATGTGCCACTATGCTTGACCCAAAACAACTGCTTTCAGGCTCTGTAGGAATGCTCTGTTTCTGGGTTACCTCAAGTACCCCCTGCCTCATCTGGAAGATAGAAGGGTACAGAAGGAGCTCAGGCCTCAGCAGTAGAAACCAGACCAGAAGGGGGGGGGGTGATCAGCAGGCACAGGGGTTGAAGAGCAGGGCTTCAGAGAGGCAGTGTAGGGTGTGGTATAAAAATGACTATCAAAGAACTACATCTTTGCTTTTTCTTCCTGAGTTCGTTCTGTAAGAATACAGTTCCAACTTCAGGGAGACTTAACCTCCCTCCTGGGCAAAGGGACACATGCCATGTGGGCAGGGAAAGGTGTGCGCCTAATACCTGGTTCTGATACGCCTGAGGGGCCAGCCGCTTGTACAGGGGAGCAACTTCGGTGGCCAGATCCTGGAAACTCTTCCGGAGTACCTCTTCCTGCGGAGAGAACAGAGTCATCACACACATGCAGTGTGGACAGTCGGCAACAAACAACCCTGAGCACAGGTGTGACGGTCATCTTCACCGAAAGCAGGAACCTGTTCATGTGTCCTGGGCCTAACTTAAATAAAATGACGAATTCAGCCCCTTGTTTAACCCAGCTACACTCCAAACACTCAGCAGCTCCGTATTTCTCCTGCACTAGATAGCAGAGAGCATTTCCATCATCAGAAAAATTTCCACTGGATGGAACTACTTTACTTTTTTATTTTATTTTATTTTATTTTTTGGTACTACTTTAGATAAAGCAGCACCACTCATTTACAACTAGGAAAGTCAGGTGTCCACAGCCTCTCTCTGGCCTTATACAGCAGCAAGCAGGGCTTGTTGGGAGGCTAAAGAGTTCATGAAGATGTAGGCAGGCAGAAATGGGGAGAGGAAAAGAACTAAGTAGACAGGGCTCAGCTGTCCCTTGAGCAGGATGACCAGGGCCTCGCCAGCTTCCTGGCTGTGCAGATGATGCCACCAGCGCAGCGGACCTCATGCCAGCGGAGCAGGGATGAGGACGAGCGTGGAGAGTCCTAGGCAGGTCTGGCACTGACTCTTGTCCTCCATGCTGGCCCTAGGGCCTTCCTCAAGCCACTGACCTCCCTGTGAACTGAGGGAGCAGTGCCCAGATCACGGCAAAATCCCAAAGAGAACAGATCCCTGTGAGGCACTCACCACAGTACCCAGCACATAGAAGTACACAAGAAACACTGACACAATGAGGGAAGAATCTACGGGGAATTGCGCCAGCATCTTTACATTCCCAGTAGCTCTTAGGTCTTGGTGGACCTGGGGCTCCTCTATTCACCAAAAATAACCTCATTTGTTGCTTCAGGGGAATGGGAGATCCTCTCTCAAATAGAAGTCCAGCATCAATTTGAGGGGCATTTGAGAGCTATTTTAAGCTCACAAAATAGTCTAAAAGCTATGTTTTGGGGAGTAAGAGTTGCAAATGCTCCCTTTCTTTTACAGAAAGTTTGGAGATGGCAGTGTACATGTGTATAGAGGCAACAGTGCAGAGCAGAGGTGCCCAGTGGACGTCCCTGCCACGGGAAGCAGGGACCAGTACTAAGTGCTTGAGGGCTGGAAGGCTGAGATGAGATCAAGATGCTGTCTAGATCCTAGTAATGGGAGCCAGCAACAAGATCCAGTATGTGCCCTCTCAGGAGCTGAGGCAGGAGGGGGAGGCTGGAGACAAAATGATGTGAGCTCAGAGGGCCAGAGGCCTGAGCTGCCCTTGCATTTGGAATTGAGTGGACACTACCTCTTGCTATGGCTATTGAGGCTCAGAGAAGAAATAGGGTGAAGCAAGCTGAGCTGATGCTCACGGTTTCCACACATCTGTGCTGCAGTGTGCCAATGCTGCCCACCATCTGACTGTGAAGGACCCTCAGTGGGAACAGGCGAGAGGGAGGGTCTCTGCACTCCCACACAGCTCTGCTCACCTCCTTGGGATTGTCCCCTGCAAGGCGGAACTTGCGAGGTGTCTTGCTTCGAGCGTATTTGCAGCCATTGAAGTACATACTCCAGGAGCAGCCGAAGGAGAAGGAGGCACCACAGGTGTTAGGGTCTTTGCCTTGGCAAGCGCAGGTCCGGCTGAAATGTACAAGACAGGGTATGTATACAGATGCATTATCTCTTTTCTAGAATCTTCTTTTTCCCTTGAGGGGAGGCCTTGTTGGAGCCTGGCATCTGGCAGCTTCCTGGTGACTGGGGCTCATCCTTTTCTACTCCATCCTTCCTCATATTTCCTTGAGCAGGAAGCCAGCTCCCAGAAACCATCTCTGCCACATCCCTGAGCTCAAACATCCAACCACAGTCTGCTTGTGGGAGAAACATGTGAGTTAAGACAGAGGAAGAATCAGTAAAAGCCCCGTGAGGGTCACACGGTGCCTTCTTTCTAATATCCTGACCAGCTCCAAAGTAGACCTCAAAACAGGGCATGGATGACATGAACCTCAGGATTGGGACCTGCTCGCTTTCTAAAGCTCAGCTGCCGGCAGGCCTTGAAACAAGCACACACTGACACCAACCTTCAAAGCTTAATAAAATCTGGAAACAACCCAAACTTTCCTCAGCTGGGGAATGGATAAACAAATGTGATGCTTCCCCACAGTGGAATACCACTCAGTGATTAAAAGGAATGCACTCCTGATGCATGTCAGCATAGATCAGCCTCAGAAGCATCACGCTTGGTACAACAAGCCCGGTGCAAAAGGCTCCACACCATATCATCCCACCTATGCGGCATTTTCCCAAAGGCAAAGCCTCAGGAACAGGAAATGAGATGCAGTTGCCAAGGGGGCAGGAAAAGTTGCTGATAAAAGGCCTACGGGAACTGGTGAAAGTGTTCCACACTGTCATTGTGGTGCTGGCTACATGACTGCAAACTTCATCAAAACTCTCCAAACTATATACCAAAAAGGATGATTATCATTGAAAATAAATATACCCTAGCCCAAAATGGGGAAAAAACAGCAATAAGGTAGGCTTTGTAAAGATCATCAATATCTTACATTTGTTACACACATAAACACTTTTTTACACTTATTAACAATGTTATCAGGATGTCGGCCTTGGTTGGGGGTTTAACAGTGAAGCTAAGCCAACTCACCAGTCTTTCCCAAGGGAGAGCTGGCACCCATGTCAGGGTCTCTGGATAAGCATTGCCCTGCTACCACTCTTACTCTTTAAACAAACAGCCAGGGGGGAGGAAAAACTTACCCACACTGCCAAGAATTCACATACCTGCTGCCCAGGGCCCTGCTGGGGACCTTTGCCCTACCCCCTACCCTGAATCACTGTACCCTACCACATACTCATCATTGAGGCCACATCTCCGGCTGGTGGGGTTCCCATACTTCCGGAGGGTATCAGTGAGCTCTTGGTAGAGGGTGTCTCCCAGGCTGCGCGGGATGCCCTCCCAGGCCAGGATGAGGATGACAATCACGGCGTTCTGGCAGTGGTGGCCTGCCCGATGCCGCACCAGGCAGAGCAGCTTCTCCTCCAGTGTGTGCCTGCGGATCACCTGTAGGGACATTAGGCGGCATCATTATCTGCTTGAGCCACAACGCCTCACTGCTACACAGAGCTGGGGGTGCCGATCTTTTGGGTAGTGTCCCACAAGTGTCATCCTGATGACAGCAACCACACAAGTTAAGAGATCATTATAATTAAGGAACGAAAAACGCTGAAAAGCTGTAATAGCAAAGTTGAAGATACTGGTGTCTTAACATAGTTTTAGAGGTTAAAAAAAATACAGAGGGGCCAGGGAGATGGCTCAGTAGAATAAGTGCTTGCCTGGCACGCGCAAAGGTCTGAGTTCATTCCCTGGTTAAAAAAAAAAAAAAAAATACAGAGGTAAAATTGTAAGCCAAAGGCTGGGGAGACAACTCAGTGGCATAAGTGCCTGCCTGGCAAGTGCAAGGTCCTGAGTTTGATCCCCGGTACCAAAAAACAAAACAAAACAAAATTGTAAGCTAAAATATAGCTACAGATTTTTACGTTGTCCTAAAACATTTGCAGAGAAAATGCAGCATATCATATGTTGTTAGTTTATAAAAAGCAAGGGATTCAGCACTGTGGAAGACAGTTTGTGGTTCCTCAGAAAGTGACAGAATTAACATACAAGGTGTGACTGGAAACCCATGGTGGGTGTTTGAATAAATAATTGATTACAGTAAAAGACACATTGCCATCAATCCCCTTTAAAACATTCCCTCTCACTTCAAACACACTTATCCCATCATTCTTGCCACTTTCTGAAGCAGTTCTGGAGGTCCTCTTTCATGACAGTCTTCAGTTATGCTATCCTGGCTACTTCAATGTCCTGCCCTGGTTCAAAACATTAACATCTCAAGATCATTTTGACAGAGGAAAAGCCACAAGTCCACAGTGCCAGATCCCGTGAATGAGGTGGATGGGGCCACATGCTCGTTTTTTTCCCCTCAGTCTGGGGGTGTTATGGTTTGTGTATAGGTGTCCCCCCAAACCTCATGCAGTCTTGGGGCAGCCTCTGGAGTTTGTGATTGATTACTGTGGGTGTGGATGCTGCACCTGCCTGGGGCAGGTGATTTGCATTACAATGTAAGGTGGGAAGAGAAGCTAGCTGCTTGAGCTGCTGCTACCCCTCCCTTGAGCTCTTGCTCTTTGCCACCACCATGAAAAGTTGCCCTCTGCTGTGTGCTGCTCTGCCTTGGACCCAGCTGAGTATGGACTGAAGCCTCCAGTAACTGTAAGCTAAATAAACCTTTCCTTCCTTCATTTTGAGTGTCGAGTATTGGTCCCAGCAACGAGAGAAGAGTAACTAAGACAGGGGGGCTGAACTTTTAGCCTTTGTACTGAGTTACAACTCCATCCTCTTTCTAAATTTTAAAATTTTGAGACAAGGTCTTACTTATTTATTAAAGCCACTAAGTGACACAGATGAGGCTTGAATTTGCAATGCCCCTGCCTCAGCCTCCCAGAATACTGGGCCACCATGCCCGATCACACCACAATGTTTTTCCTGCCTTTCTGCTGGATGACACTTGGCAGCAGCATTCCCTGTATACTCAATCATATAAAAAGAGGACTTCCAGAACTGTAGTAAGGTAAGAATGATGAGATAAATGTGTTCAAAGTGAGCGTGAATATTTTACAGGAACTAATGGAAATGTGTCCTTTAGGGTAAAGAAGTTTTTTAATACATTTAAATATTTACCATATATTTTGATCACCCTTTGTACAATCCAGCAATTCTATGACTTACAATGTACCCAAGAGAACTAAGTGCAGGAACTCAGATAATTACATACATATGTCATTTACAGTGTGATTCACCAGATGTGGAAATGACTCAATTGTCTATCAGATGAACAGGTAAACAAAATATGGCATCTATGTATACAACATAATATTAGTTGGCCATAAAAAGGAATGAAATTCTGGCACATGAAACGTAGCTGAACCCTGAAAGCATTAAGCTGAGTGAAGTAAGTCAGACACAAAGGACAAATATTTTATGATGCTGCTCATATGACATGCCTAGAATAGAATCATAGAGACAGAAAGCAGCTTAGAGGTTATCAGAGGTGGGGGAGGAGGAAATCAAGAGTTACTCCTAATGGGTAGAGTGTTTCACTTGGGGATAACGGCAAAGTCTTGGAATTAGACTACAGTGGTGGTTGGCAAACAATACAGATGTTTAATACTATTGATCTGGACCCTTAAAATGGTTAAAATAGCCAACTTTATGATACATGTGTCAATTTTGATATATACACATATACCATAATTTTTAAAAATGGCATACCAAAGCTGTTGAATTGTGCACTTTAACTGAATAATAAAGCCTGTAAATTATTAAGAAAATTGTTTCAAAAACTGGCTCTGGGCCTGGCGCTGCTCTGCTGCTCAGGACCTGGATCTGTCCTCATTCAGGTTCTGATGCCCTCCACACACACAAGGATGCATCGGGATGAAGGTCCTGGGAGCTGGGCAGTGAGGAGGCTGAATCTCCCCCACAGGACCCCACGTAACTGCAGCCATACGCAAGGAGGGCGCCGAGAGCAGTGGTGGACTGAAGAAGATGGGGGAGAGTCAGGCAGCAGGACAAGGCTACAAGGGTCTTCAGGGATCTGTACAAGCATGTCAGCAGGGTTTTACCAAACTGCTTCACACCCTGGGAAAGGGGGAAATGCGTGGGAAAATGAAGGGACAGGGAAACCAGCTGGGAGATCCTAGCATAACATAAGCAAACACGGATGAAGCCCTGAACTATGGCAGTGGGCAATGAAATGAAAAATAATGAATTCCAGAGACATTTGGGAGAAAAGTGACTTTGGACCACCTGCCTGCAAGGGCTGAGGGACTGGGCAAAGTCCTGGTAACTTCTACACTCTGAGGATTTGGAGACTGGTGTGGTGTCAAGTGGAAGGGTGGAAGTGTCCTGGGATCAAGCGACTCTGTATACCTGATCAACTATTTCCACTAGGCTTCAGCACAGGGGGCCTGGAGCTCAGGGGACGCCTGCACTGCAGACAGATGTGGTTGCAAGTGCTCCTAGGCAGGAGCTGCGGTGCACAGGGGTAGCCAAGCTGGCAATACCAATGAGGAAGTGGGCCTGGTGCCAGGCCGGGCAGTGATGTGGACCATAGCAATGTGAGGATATCCACTGATCTCAAAGGGTAGGAATTTTACAGGAAAAAAATAAAAATACAGAATTTTACATGAAATTCCCCCCTTTAAAAACATGAGCACCACGTTCAGGTTTTTTTGCTATGGTGGTAACATATACACTGCACGTAATGTACCATTTAAGTGTATGCTCTGGTGGCATTAGGTACATTCACACTGCTGTGCGACCGTCACCATCTCCAGAACATTTTCACCTTGCAAAATTGACATTTTAGGGGCCGGGGAGATGGCTCAGTGGAATAAGCGCTTCCTTGGCAAGCGCAAGGGTCTGAGTTCAATTCCCGGTTCCGCAAAAAAAAAAAAAAAAAAAAAAAAAACCAACTGACATTTTATTCATTAAACAACTAACTCTCCATTCATCCCTCCTGATAACCTGTGGTAACTGCCATTTGACCTTTTGTCTCTATGGATTTAATTCCTCTGGGTACCTCTGACATCATATAAAATCTGTCCTTTTTGTGACTGGTTTGTAATGTCCTCAAGGCTCATCTGTGTCAGATAGTATGTTCTGAAACTTCTTTCAAACTTTTTTTGTTGTTGTTGTTGGAACCAGGAATTGAACTCAGACCCTTGCATTTGCCAGGGAAGCGCTTATTCCACTCAGCCATCTCCCTGGCACCTTTTTTCAAACTTTTAAAGGATAGTTTGCATACTAAAGGAAACCTGTCTGGCCAGGAATTCTTGCTTTGAGGCAAGGTGATGCTGGTACCTCCTTGCTGAAGGAGTACTATACTTGGAGGTACCACACTTGTATTATGTTTAAAACTGTATTTTGGAAATCATCAATAAGTTGTTAAGTAATATATCATATTATAACTCCCTGTCATTGTCTGGCTCCCCACAGACTAAGCTGGACATGTCATGGGCCTCAACACATGCCTGTGGACACTGGTAAGACAGTGGTCCTGTGGTTAGGGTGTTCAAGGCATTATGGTCAGCCTTTGCTTACTGCCTAAGGTACCTGCTGATTAAATGCACTCATGGGTCATGTGTTCAGAGCATACAGTGGGACACCCAACCAGCCAAAGTTGTAACTAAGGCTTTGTCACTTTGGCTTCCCAAGTGGCAAATGCACAAATGTTATCTGGCACAATAGACAGCTTCTTAAGGCCTCTGAACCAAGTCTATGTCTACACTTAAAACTTGAAAAAAGCAAGGTGGTCTGTGGTGACACTCCTCTGATGAAGCCCAGAAGGGTATAACACATAAAAATGTAAAATCAAAGGCCAAGGAGAGGCACAAATACACCAACCCATAAGCACCGCAATGTGAACAGTTCACGTCTTGTGGAAGAATGGTTTTCTTTGAGCAGGAATTCCCTGAGCAGGAACTAAGGGCAGTAAACACCTCACAGAAAGCAAAACTTACCCTCCCACAGAAGGCTTGGTTTTAGCCTCAGGGCCTTTCTGATTCCTCCTCAATATACCATGATAGGCCTTCAGATGCCTGCTTTCTGACCTCTGCTGCCTTTACCTCTGCTCTCTGGCCCAAGAAGCACGTACCGAGCCTGTTTCTCCATTTACCCCTGGGCCTCTGAATATTCCCGGGCACTCCCTCCTTCCCATGTTTGGCACCTTTCATATTTTGTACAGGTCATCTTACCAGGAGGCATTCCCCAAGGGCTCTCCTGGTTGACCCACTGTGTTCTCAGGTCATTTTTACAATACATTTCTTGGATACTCACGGTGTGCCTTGACCTTTTCCCTCAAGTCCTGGCCAGTCAGGTCTAGAATTTGTCAGGCACACTGCTTTTAGCTGTAGATACTGAGGTACTAGTTGTAGGGTGGGAGTGGGAGGAAGGTGTGCTCTTCTTCAAAGTTCTACCTCCTCTACAAGTTGGAGATGAGACAGGTACTCCCAGTACCCCATGCGGTAGGAGCATCCCAGACGCAAACATAGAGGTGAACCTTTGCTGGAAGACAAAACCCAGGCTCTAGACGTAGGGCCAGGTGGAGTGAGGCAGCATACAGGAGATGACACTCACCCACTTTGCAATGGGGCACCCTCTGGAACTCTTCCCCTCCTTCCCGGTATAGATGACCTTCTCAATCCGGATGGCTTTTCCCTTCTCTCCATACCTAGAGGGAAACAGAAGCCCACATGAGCACAGCAGGACTTCAAAGGAGGACAGTTTACAGTAGAAAGACACACCCTGGAGGGTTTAATGAGAGTTTCTAGTTACCATGGGGCCAACTGAGAAAAAAGAAGAATGTTTAAATTCTCTGCTTAGAAGCCCAAGGGACACAGTGGTTACTTCTAGGTCCCCAGGCCGTAGCTCACCTGCCTCTTCTCCACTTCTGTCCATCTGGCTCACCTCTGTCTCAAGACAGAGGGGCAGTCAGGGAGAATGTCCCTGATTATTGCCTGAGCCTCCAGAAGGATCTTGAAGCCAAAGGCTAGTTGAGTCAAAACCAACCTGTTAGCTAAGTCACCCCGAGACCTAGTCATACATTCAAAATATGAAAGAAAATAAATTCGGCAAAAACTTATTTTTCTTTTTTAATTACCCAAGCTGACTTTTGAACATGACAAATAGCTAAGGGGAGGGGAGGGACTCTACCACACACATACACTGGTGCCCATGTACTGAGGGATAGCAGACATTCTGGTTCCTGCACATACTACCTTTCTGGCCCATATACTTAGTGCTGCAGAGCCTCAGGTCTCTAGGACCATCTTCTCATCATCTACATCATGTTCAGAGGTAATGAAATTATGGTCCCAGATATAAACCAGCCTCCCCAAGGCCACACAACTATATGGGACTAGGTATAACCCAAGTACAGCATGGGAGGTAGACAGACTAGGTTTAAGTGCCCACCTAGCCTCTTTCTTTCTTTGTTTTTTTGTTTTCTTTCTTTCTTTTTTTTTGTACCAAGGATCGAGCCCGGACCTCACACTTGTCAGGTGGGCACTGTGCTACCAATCTGCTTCCCTGACCCCAGCAACTTTCATGATATATATAACCGGCCAAACTGCTAAACTTTTCAAAGCTTCAGTTTTTCAATTTATAAAATGTGGACAAAAAATTGTTTTTATCTGTTAGGATTGGTGAAGAGCAAATGGTGATCTACACTGAGTACACTATTTATAGTGCTTTAAAATTCCTAACATGAAGAAGGAGTCCAATTCAATATTTGTAGTAATATAAACACCACCCTACTGAACCATCTTAATCGCAATAGATTTTCATCTCAGATACATTATTACATTACATCTGCAGACAACGGTCACCTGTCACTTCCACTCTTCCACCCTTCATGCCTCTTGTCTGAGTTGGCCTAGTGCTTCGGACATGCTAGCAGGTCTCTCTGCTTATTTTTCAACTTCACTGAAAATATTTCCAAGAATTTACCACTGAGCATGAAGTTGGCTGGGCCAGGAGAAAGACTTTTTTTTTCTTTTTTTTTGAAACTGGGGATTGAACTCAGCCTTGCGCTTGCCAGGGAAGCGCTTATTCTACTGAGCCATCTCCCTGGTCCCCAAGAAAGACTTTCTTACTTGAAAATTACTACTAAGGGTCTCCTAAGGATTAAATCTTAAGAGATTTTAATCTCCTAAGGATTTAAATTAAGCACGAACTTGCATGAATTATACTTTTATCATCTCAGGAGATAGGTGATTGAATGGGTTTTTTTTCCTTTGATCAGTTAATATGGTATACTTATTAACAGTCTAAATCAAATTATCTTTATGTTTCTATATAAGCTTGACTTGATCATTGCATATTTTAATATACTATTTAATACAGCATAATGTTATCATAGCTATTAAAATTTAAAGTGGACATAGTCTTTACCATATCCATTACACCTATAGGAATTATTACCTCAAAAATCAGTGCACAAATGCATTGTGCTGCGAACAGTGGTCCAACAATGGGGAAGAGGGGTTATACTTGGTTCAGTATCACTTCATATATATACTTACACCTTTGTAAGTGCTTAGAAAGGTTAGAGGTAAACATCAAACCTTTAAAAAGTTTCTTCTAAGAAGAATGTTGGAGAGATTTATATACTCTGTACTTAAAGACTTTTTATTCTTTAACAAGTGTTTCATTTTTGTAGTTAAAAAGGAGAACAAAGATTTTCTTTAAATGCTGACCTAAGGGTTCCAGATTGCTCAAGAGCTCAGTGGAAGGGTAAGAAGATCCTCTGATCATTACAGCATTAAAATTTGAAGGTTTCATTAATCCCTTACAAAAGTACTTGGAGACAGGACCCAGAGCTTCTGTAGCATGATCTGTATCATGAGGAAAATATCACATCATGCTGCTCTTTGTCTGCTTCCTGGACAACTCAGTTCAGTACGCATTTATCAGGCAGTCACCTGCAAGCACAGGCCCAGCATGCCTGTCGGGAGGGCAGCCTGAGGTGACCACACGACTCTCACTGAGACAGGGGACTATCAAGTTCCTCACAGGAAGGTGAGCTGAGGACACAGATGCCGGCTTTCCCACCAGCTCCTTCCCTATCATTCTGTCCTTGGAAGAAACAAGTCTTGCAGTGAGCTTCAAATCAGAGAGCATTTAAATAAAAGGGCCAGGCACTGCCTAATCTGCCAGACATTTTCTTTTAAACAGAACTGTTTGTGTTTAAAGACAACCAGTCAACTCATTCTTCTTCTTAAATGTTTTAATTTCTAACTTTTCATGGAAAGGCCCTTCTAGTATATAAACTCTGAGGCCCTAAACTAAGTCTGCAAGGATGGGTTAAAACCTTTCTCTAAAGCTGGACATGGTGGTCCACTTCTGTAATCCCAATATTCTAGGAGGCTGAGGCAGGGGTGTTGAGAGCTTGAGCCCAGCCTGGACAACTAATGAGACCCTGTCACAAAAACGAATAAAAAAACAATCCAAATATTAAAACCAAAAAAGCGGGTCGGGGAGATGGCTCAGTAGAATAAGTGCTTCCCTGGCAAGCACAAGGACCTGAGTTCAATCCCCGGTTCCACCAAAAACCACAACAACAACAAAAAAAGTTCACACACACACACACACACACACACACATATGCTGGGGATGCAGCTCAGTGTGAAGGTACTGGGTTTAATTTCTGGTACCCTGCCCCCCAAAATTAACTGATCGTCTTAATCAGGAACTGGGATCAGTAGCATTGCCTCACCTCAAGACGGGGAATCAGCACTCAGCTCTTGGGTCCCATTGCAAACCCACCAGATCAGCTCGGCCCAGTGCTCTGTGCTTTCACAGCCCCCAGGAGCTTCTGAGGCCTGCTCAAGATTAACAACTACTGCTGTAAAGCTGTGGTGCCCCACTCTGCCAGAGGAATGAACCCAGAGCCTTCATGTTGAGTTATGTTCACAGCCCCTCCCTCCTTTACTTTGTTTGTTTTGAGACCAGTCTTGCTAAGTTGCCGAGGCTGGCCTCAGACTTTGGATCTTCTTGCCTCAGCCTCCCAGAGTGCAAGAATTATAGGCATGTGCTTCTGTACTCTGCTTAAAACTGCACTTCTTCAGACTTAACTCTACCACTGAAAGGGGTTAGGTACCTCAAAGCTTCAAAAAGTTGCTAGCACAGCTCTGCTTCTTTGTCTCTAGAACAAGATTTAATGGACTCCCAGGCAGTAGAAAATCTCTTCCCAGACAGAATTCAAAAAGCTCTAGGTACCACACCACTGTCCAATAGGAACTTGACAAGTGATTCCAGTTACCTATGACAATGAGGATAACTTGGGCACCTAAGAGGTATGACATCCATAAATAAATGGGGATATTTTAGGATTTGTTTTCATCCTTTCTCTTTTTCTCCAAATCTGTACCAGGGAAGCTATAAACACCAATGTCCCCTAATTTCAGTTTATTTCTTCTCCCTGACTTTTGGCTAACTCCTGGCAGTAGAGTGGTCTTGTAGAGAAAGAGTAAAGGGAAAGGTCTAGAGAAAGAGACAGGTAGGCCCCTTCAAACTGAGCCCCCCGACAGGGGAGCTTCCCCATTCACACACTGCCCCACCCCCGCCCCTGGGTCCAGAAAGGATCCCAAGAGGTCTATGAAATACAAAGAACAAGTGACAAAATCAGAGAAAAGGGGGGAAAAGATTTGTTGGTAAAGAAAACATGAAGGTAGGGCCAAATAGATCAGCGGATTAAAGCCCCTGCAAGCAGGTACAGGGGGTTCGATCCCCCGGGGCCTGCCATGCTGGCCCCATCCTCGGGACACCCTGAGAGGGCAATTGAGATTGGGAATAGCTGCGCGGGCCTATAATCCCAACTCTTGGGAGGCTGTGAACAGGCGGATCACTATGAGTCTGATCTAGTAGTGAGACCCTGAACACCCTGCAGACCCTTCCCTAAAATACAGAAAAAAAATAATAAAATAAATAAAAAGAAAACATGAAGGGAGAGGGACAGGGAGAGAAGGACAGGGAGAGGGAGAGGGTGAGGAGAGACTGGGGAGAGAAAAAGAGACAGACAGCCACACACACAGGACTGAACCCAGTCCTTCACAATGAGCTACACTTCCAGCCCTTTTTTATTTGTAGGCAGTGTCTTGCTGGGTCACTAAGTTGCCCAGAATGAACTCAGACCCCTGCTCTGGCCTCCTGGAGTGTGGCGATCACAGCTGTGCACTGCCATGCTCAGGGTGTGCACGCTTTTGACAGCTGAACCTGGAGTATCTTGTCATGTATGAAATCGAAGACATTAAAGCCTCCTTGTCAGAAGTACTTATGAGTGACCTAAAAAGGCTCTCATGACCAAAGGTTAGATATCACATTCTTGGGGTGGGGGGTGAGGGGACACAGACTCTGGCTTTAAAGTTATTAGCAACCAAAATGAAGATGAAAATACAATCTGTTTATGATTTACAAGGTCTTTAAGATAAAAATAAACCAGTTGCTGAGGAAAAGCACAAATATTCCTGGTATTGAGAAGAACTGCTCCCTTAGACCAAGTTTTGAAGAATTTACAGTTGGCTGTTACAATTTTTAAAACAATGAGAAAAAACCCACAAACTCCACAAATCTCAACTCTATTATTACCTCTTAATCCTTACTTCAAAATGTACTGTTCTATAGTTAAAAGATTTTTAGAGAGATGTCTATAAATCTCATAAATTACCCACAAGCCAAAAAAGCAAAACCAAAAAAATAAACACTGATCCCAGATCAAACTTAAACATCAGACCCCCTGAAGCAAAGAACCATGTTGACTTTCCTTATAAAAATCATGGGCCAAATGCTGCCTGCTTCAATGTGGAACATGCAGGGCATACACGTGGCCACACAAAACAAGCATGTACAACACATGCACTCTTAAAACCAGTTTTGTCCTTGTAGACTCAGAAGTGTCCTTAAGTCAGGATTGAATTTGCAGAATGGGCCTCTGGTCAGATACTTTTATCATGGGCTACTCTGAATACAAGTGTCTCCAGTTGGTACCAGAAATTAAGAGCAACTATGGCAGACTAGTGACCTCCGTCCACTGTACCTCTCAGGCATTCAGTTAAAAATCGTGTTCTATTCTCTACTGACAGGACTAGTTTGGCTCTCCTGGGCAGACAAAATCTGGTTCTCAAATTTGTAGAAATTCAGTCTTCCATGCATTATTTGTCCATGTATAAGCAAATGTGTCTGTGTCTAGGTCACTACTGTCTTTATTTTAAAATGCTACTGCTTATTATATAACAAATGCAATCAGGGTATTAAGTATATGAGGTGGACAAAGACTGCTCACCCCTTACATAGTACTGGTAACGAATACTAAGTATGCTTTAGGTATCAGCTCAGTCTCCTCTAAACCTCCCACAGTGACTTCTGCAGCTTATCCTCACGGCGCCTCCACAATGTGTGCAGTTTCATCTTCACGTCTATCTTGTAGATAAGGAAGCTGAGTCATAGAGGAATGTGCCAATCACTGAAAGTCTCAGCAGTAAGTGGCAGGGATTCCACTCTAGCTCTAGCATCCATGTTCTCACCCACCAAGCAACGTTACTTCTGCATAGACCAAAACTCAAGAGTATTTACTACCTGCTGTGGACACATGCATAGATTTTAGGCTCTTACCTATAAGAACAGCTTTATAAAACACAACTGTCAAGTAAAATTTCTACAGTTTTGAATTTGAATGTCAATATAGACTTATGATATATTTAACCACTAACAATAACAAAAATTAAAATGGTAGACAAAAGTTCAAGTTGTATCAGGTACAACTTAGGTCTTTCTACTGAAATGGCCTTAAAAAAGAAAAGATAACTCACTGTAGCAATGAGTACCCCGGTACCCAGTCTGCTTTCTAAATACTTTTTCTGCCAATAAAAGGAATTAAGACTTCTTGGATAAATGTACATGAGTCCAGGACATCTTGACATACTAGCAACCAAGACAGGATAGCACTTATGAAGTGTTTCTGGGGGAAAGAGGAGAAACAAAAACAACCTGATTGCAATCAGGCCTTTAGTGCTGACTACCAGTTTACAGGACTCACAGAGAGTAGAAGAGCACGTGAAATACCACCATGCGAAAGCTATAAGCAAAATTCGAACTGTGGGACGCGAACACTGCAGGACTATAACCACATAGCCATGTTCTTCAACAACAGAGTTTCAGGAGAAAGACAAAGGGAGCTTACGGTGGGCTGACATACGCCAGTAGGCTGAGCGAGACCTACAAGGAGTGAAAGTGTTTCCCTCATTCAACCTGTCACCATATGGACATTATGGCCTCTTTTCTGTGGACAAGACAATGAAAATGAGAGCGCTGAAAATCCACATCCCTGTAACTCCACCATGGCCTCTCAAATACCTATGAAACACTCACCGCTCCTCCATGAGTTCCCGGATAGAAGCTACTGTGGGGCCAGATCCCAGATGAGTGTAATACGGACCTTCATCCTTCTCCACTATTTGCTCTGCAACAACACCAAGAGTAAGTGTTATTTGGAGATATCAATTAGTCAGCATTAATTTAATGGCAAACAACCAGTAGGAATATCAATTAGACATGTTACAAAGCAGGAAACTCAGATGGGTCATAATTATGTGAAACATGTTCTATTCCTTCAGAAATCAGGAAACCCAGTAAAACTGCAATAAAACATCATAACATATCCCACCAAATGGACAAAAATTTAGAAATCCGAAAATACCAAGCACTGTCAAGACTGTGGTCTAGCCACCTGGCAATTCACCTCACCATTTACCCAGTAAAGCTGAACGGTTGCACACGCATGGCCCAGCAGGTCCACCTCTATATAGCCACTTGAGATCAGGCTCAGCAAGCTACTCCAAGTAGACTAGCAAAGGGATTCAATGCCCATGCTCACAGCAGCATCACTTACAACCAGGAAGTGTAAATAAGCCAAATGCCCAGCAACAGACAAATGAAAACATTAAATATAGTATATGCATACAATGGAGTATTATTCACCCCTAAAAAATAAGGGAAGTTCTCATAAATGCTATTACATGGATGAACCTTGGAAATATTATGCTAAATAAAATACATCAAACAGGCCAGCCTGATAGCTCAGCAGACTAAAGTGCCTGCTTAGGCAGAGCACAATGGCTAGGGTTCTATCCCTGGTGTGCTGTGCTGGCCCCACCCGCGGGGTGTAGTGAGATGACAACTGAGACTGGGTGTGGTGGCACCCGCCTGTAATCCCAGCACTTGGGAGGCTGAAAACAGGAGAATCACTACGAGTCTGATCTACGTAGTGAGACCCTGCAGACCCTGTATACCCTGTCCTAAACACAGGAAAAAAGAAAAAATCAAACACAACAGTGGGTGTCGTGGTACACACCTGTGGTCCCAGGCCTCAGGAACTGAGGCAGAAAGGTTGCTGTGAGTTCAAGGCCAGCCTGGGCTACATAGTGAGACCCTGTTTCAAACCAAAAGCCAAACACTGCCACAAAAAGGGACAAATACTACTTGCTTCTACTTAAATTATCTAAAAGAGGAAAATTCATAAAGACTCCAAGTAGATTAGAGGTGATCAGGGACTGACAGAAGGAACAGAGAGGCACTGCCTCACAGAGCTGCTGTGTAGGGTGATGAAAAGGTTTTGGAAAGAGCGGTGACAGTTGCACGATCCTTTGAATGCCACTGAATGGTATCCACACTTAAATATCACTGAAGTGGCCACTGTTCTATTTTATACATCCTAGCATAAAGTACTAACGCTTGCTATAACATGGGCAAGCCTTGAAAACATTAACTTAAAGGAAACCAGCAAGACACAGGAAGATCCACTGAGGTGAGATACCCAGAACAGATAAATATATAAAACCAAAAACAGATGGCAGTTGCAGGAGGAAGAGATGGTGACTGCTTAGTGGATCGAATTTCAGAAATGTTTTAGGACTTGACAAGCAGTGCTCTCCCAACACTGTGAAGATATTCTACTCTGCTGAAGCGCTCATTTCAAAATGGTTAATTTCACAGTATATGAAGTTTGCCTCAAGTTTAAAAAATAAACACACTATTGATTTATGTAAAAACATGAATGAGGGGTGTGTGTGTATGTGTGTACATGTTACCATAGACTGAACCCAGGAACCTTCACACTGAGTTACATCCCCAGCCCTTACTTTCCATTATGAGTCATGGTCTTGCTAGAGTACTAAGTTCCCAAGAAGTGTGGTCCAAGGTTGTGACTTTCCTGCCTCAGCCTCCCAGAGATTACAGGCATATACTATGTCCAGATAGGGGGAGGGGTATATTGAGGACTGAAACCAGGGCCTGTGCACTGTGTTACATCCCCAGCTCTCCCCACCCCTTTGAGACAGAGTATTGCAAAGTCATTAAGTCGTTCAAACTTGCAGTCTTCTCGTCTCAGCCTCCTAGAGTGCTGAGGTCTCAGGCTTGTCAGCCATGCTCAGCCCCATGGGTGAGATTTAAATGAATTTTTCCAAGTGAAGGAAACAAGACTACAAAGGCTACATAACAATAACTCTGAAAAAAGTGTTCTGATTAGATACTAGAAGGCTAGGAACAAGAACAACTATTCACATAGTAGTATATGTACTACAGTTGATAAGTTTGTTTCATGTCTAAGGAAACATGCCAGCTAAATGCAGCATTGTGTCTTACATTGAATCCTAGAACACAAAAAGGATATTAGTGGAAAACTGTTAAAAATTTAAAACTCTTGGGCTGGGGAGATGGCTCGGTGACCTAAGCACCTGCCTGGTAAGCACGAGAACCTGGGTTTGATCCCCTGTACCATATGCCATGCAGGCCCCAGAACCCAGGGGGTGGGGGTGCTGGCCACAAAAACCAGGCATGGTGGTGCATGCCTGTAATCCCATCACTGGGAAGCTGAGACAGAAGGATTACTATGAGTCCAAGCCATGTACGAGACCCTGTACACCAGAGAAAGAGAGA